AAAAGTTTTGTTTGGTCCACTTTTTTTTTTTTTGGAAAATAATGATCTCATTAGTCTGGGTCAAAAAATGAAGTTCCGTTTTTTTTTTTTAATTTTGGGAATTTCAAAATTTCAAACCTTTCGAAATTTCGAATTTCTCAATTTCCTGAATTTCTGTATTTCTGAATTTCTGAATTTCACAATTTCTGAATTTCTGAATTTTCAAATTTCTGAATTTCTGAATTTCTGAATTTCCGAATTTCTGAATTTTCAAATTTCTGAATTTCTGAATTTCTGAATTTCTGAATTTCCCAATTTCTGAATTTTCAAATTTCTGAATATCCGAATTTCTGAATTTCTGAACTTTCGAATATCCAAATTTCTGAATCTCTGAACTTTCGAATTTCAGAGTTTCTGAATTTCTGAATTTCCGAATCTCTGAATTTTCAAATTTCTGAATATCCGAATTTCTGAATTTCTGAACTTTCGAATATCCGAATTTCTGAATTTCCGAACTTCTGAATTTCTGAATCTCTGAATTTCCGAATTTCTGAATTTTCAAATTTCTGAATTTCTGAATTTCTGAATTTCCGAATTTCTGATTTTTCAAATTTCTGAGTTTCTGGATTTTTGAATTTCTGAATTTCTGAATTTCCGAATTTCTGAATTTCTGAATTTCCGAATTTCTGAATTTTCAAATTTCTGAATTTCCGAATTTCTGAATTTCCGAATTTCTGAATTTTCAAATTTCTGAATTTCTGAATTTCTGAATTTCTGAATTTCCGAATTTCTGAATTTTCAAATTTCTGAATATCCGAATTTCTGAATTTCTGAACTTTCGAATATCCGAATTTCTGAATTTCTGAACTTTCGAATTTCAGAGTTTCTGGATTTTTGAATTTCTGAATTTCTGAATTTCCGAATTTCTGAATTTCTGAATTTCTGAATTTCCGAATTTCTGAATTTTCAAATTTCTGAACTTCCGAATTTCTGAATTTCCGAATTTCTGAATTTTCAAATTTCTGAATTTCTGAATTTGCACATTTTTTATTTTCAGCCCTTGTCATTTTCAGAAGGAAGTAATTTTTTAAAATCCGACTTTTTTCCTCATTTTCACAGACAGAATTTTCCAGAAGACATCTTCTGGATTCTGAACTCTCGACGTCACGTCTTCTGGAGATCCCACGCTTCTTCTTTTTATTCCTCACCTAATTATCGTCTTCCGTTACGTCTTCTCCAGAATTTCCGCTATTTTGTTCAAAAAGACGGGGAAGACCTATTGTAATATCTATTCTTTATCTAGAAATTTGAAGTCTGAGATTCTGAGATTCTGAGATTCTGAGATTCTGAAATTTTGAAATTTTTGAAATTCTGAATATCAGAATTTTCCAGAAGACGTGACTTCTTAAAGTATTTAGCATGAACAATGGCCAAACGACCAATGTACGGGTGAGTTCAAGAAACAATAATTACTAAAATTTTTAAAAATCGTGCGTTCGTGCGGAAATTCCTTGAAAACGTGACTGGTCTCGGTCTAATAATACTCAAAAAAATTCTTAATGAAAAGTTTTCATTTCCGGGTCCTCCTCTTTTTGAGTCACCCTATAAAAGAGGCAGGATAATGAGTTCATTTTTCAAAATTTCCAAAGTTTCGGATATTATTTTTTTTGATTTTTACTTTTTGAATATTTTTTCAAATAAAAACTACACATTTCAGTGAAAAAATCAGGATTCTAGCTCATCTGGTAGTCAAGATACAACCATTTGAAGTTTTGAAGAGACGCAGGCAATTAGAGTGTCTCGCTGTCTGCGCTCTCTCACTGTCTGCGTCTCTCCAAACTTCAAGAGCCTGTAGCTCAGCTTCCAGACGTTGTAGAAAGCTAGTTTTTCATGTCTCTAGCTCATCTGGGAGCCGAGTTACATCGCTTTGAAGTTTAGGAGACACGTAGACAGTTAGAGAGTCTTGTTATCTGCGCTCTCTCACTCTATCGCTATTGAAACTTGAAACGGTTGTATCTCAGCTGCCAGACAAGCTAGAAAGCTAAAATTTTCACAGGTCTAGTTAATTTTAGGTGTACTTTCAGTATTGCTTAGTAATTGGAAAAATTAAAATTCTAAATTTTCTGAATTTTTTTTTTCGAAACTGGTCTATTTCAAAAAGTAGGAAAGTATCTTAGATTACGCATTTCAGTGAAAAAATCAGGTTTCTATCTCATCTGGGAGCCGAGATACAGTCATTTTAAGTTTTGAAGAGACGCAGACAGTTAGAGTGTATCGTTGTCTGCGCTCTCTCACTCTCTCGCGCCTCTAAACTTTAAGAGCCTGTATCTCAGCTTCCAGACATCCTAGAAACTTCTAATTTTTGCTATTTCCCTTGAAAACTTCTATATTTTTTCTAGAATGGACATTCACAATCGCACCGATTACATTGCCTATCAATTCCAACTATTTCCACTGACCTTTCCCTTGATTACGGTACTGGCCGGTGTTTTTTATCTTCTTCCAACGTTTGTAATCGTTGGGAAGATGGTAAAAATCTACTATGAAACTAGCCAGAGGACAACTACAGTATCCATACAGCGCCATTTGTTTTTGGCGTTTCTTTTGATGCAAATTGCAGTGAGTTTTGAGGGGTTGTAACTTTTTAGAAGCAGGACAAATTTGAAATTGAGTGTTTTAGTTTTATTGGGCGTGATAAGAGCTTCAAAATGAGTATAATCAAGCTAGGTTTGCTGAAATTTGATTTTTGAGAATTGAGGCGCATGGTCCATGAAAAAACTTTTAAATCAGGGAAAGTGGGCCATGATTAGACTCATTTTGAAGCTCTCAACGAACTGACCATGAATATTTCAAACTGGACACGTCAAGAACTT